GATTTTCTGGAAACCGGAGTCGGGAAAGTACATAGTTGAAGGGACGGTTTTATAAACCGATATGTGCAAGAAAATACTGCGTTTCGACTTTGGATTACTAACCTTTTTCAAGAGAGACATTTCATAAACTTTTTCCTGAAATCCACCTTAATCCTCTAACGACGAACGAATTTTTGATTTTTCAGTATGAAATCACGGGTTAGTTTTATTTGTTATACAGATGCGTCCTAATAATTAGATAAAGACTATCTAACGTGACTAATAACTAACGGGACAAATACTAACTAACAACAACCTGATAAAACACTCAAGAGATGTTAAAACTTAGAAATATTTTCTAAAATATTTAGAACGCGAACTCCATATTGCCCGCGGTTGGGAGGTTAATAATATGTAATAATTACACGCAATCTAATGGATAATACAAAAATAACCGAATCCTTTATTTCCAATAATTCAACTTCAATTAGCAAAATATTCCTCAATATATCCTCACACCCTACCTAAACTAACTTTCACAAAAACTCAGCTCAATGGTGCAACCCAATGTTCTGCAGCATCCTCTTGCACGCTGTAAGCGTCAGTTTACGAGGGGCAGTAAACCCAGATAATCCACGATGCATTGTTTAGTTGAACCGACAATTTGGTAGCCTCGCGGACCGTTCGATCCGCAGTAAAAGAAGGAAAAGACCGTCGGAATATCTCGGAACTTAAATACGACCGTAGATGGTCGGCAGCTCGGCTGAGAATTCGTCGTAGCGGAAGTCACGCGGAAACCGCTTCTGAATAAAGAAGAAACGAGGCAGTCGTGCCACTAGACATACACACGTATGTACATCTGTATAGGTTACGCTTAAACGGGAACCGCGTTACAAAGTGGACGTGCATTTTTAAAGGAACGCCGCGCTGCGGCGTTGCGTCGCAGCGACAGCGTCCGCGAGCTGCGCCGGACTCAAAGAGAATTGCGCTGGCTGCGCCCTGGGTCGGTGTTACACTGACGAACTCACAAAATAAGAGACTTGACCCTTAAGGGCAACACAACTGCCGAACCACGGAATTCCCGTAATTGCTGAATCGCTTCCAGACAAGACGGGAGCGGACAACGAAAAAGCTAAATTGGAAAGACTACTCTTTCAACGTTGCGTCCAGGGCTTCGTGCTTTTGAGCTGATCCTTCTGTCAATTAGTCTTTTGCAGTCGTGTTCTCGGTTTTCCGCTTGAGGAGTGTATATCAGTGTTATTTAATTTAACTATAGCTTAACTCTTAGAAGCTGCCACTGAGGGAATCCATGTTAACAGCAGGTTGGACGAGAAGTATCGTATTTTTAGGTGAAGTTTGAAGATTCGATACGTTGAATTAAAGTTCATTTGAACGGTGTGTTGCACGTTTTGTTCGGAAATCGCCTGTTGTTCTTTTCGTTTATCTGTTTGCAATATTCATTAGTGGCGTTATGGTGTAAATGGGGATTAAATATTGGAAAAAAATGGGATGACCTTCGGACAATGTAATGCTATTATTATTTGATTTATAGACGAATGTATAACTTGGAATTAGGAATCCCAAAGAGTACGAAGAATGTTGGAAACTATGAAAAGCGGGAGAGTGATGTAACTGTTGCGGTTGTGCCAAGGAACGTGCCAGTCAACGAATTTCAATAAAGTTCGGTGAAAGAATGTTTAATAATAGATTCACGGACATTGATTGTGCAGTTTATTGCATTGTTTTCGGGGAAGTTGGTACCGGATTGGGGTGATCTATAAGTTTTTTGGACATCCGCCAAGTTGACGTTTGGTTACCGTTACAGGGGAATATAAGTGGCTTTCATAAAACGCCTTTATAAGAGAAATAACACTTTAAGTAGGATTGCAAATGAATTTTCAAATGTTTGGTTTGAGTTCCAATAATATTGTCAAATACTCTTGGTGAAGAATAATTCAAAAATGAATATTATTTCTTTATATTAAATTTTAAAGCGAATGTCATTTTCTTTTCAGCTGTAAAAATACTAATAAAAAAGTACCTATCTGTTAGTACTTTAATCGTGAACAGAAATCGTAAGATAAATGATTAATGGATCCTTTGATATCACAATATAGCAGTTAAAAAGAATGCTACAATATAAAGATAAATAGTCCAACTCGCATCATTCACAGATATCAAGGCAATATACACAATACACAACTTTCCCCCATTTATCACGTGTGAAATTGACACAAGGGACGAACGATCGTTATCACCACCCCAGAAACCAACACCAAACCCACTGCCTGTTGCCTGCGGCGTTTAAATCAGAAACATCAACCAATTACCCTACTATTATAGAACCTCCCTGTCTGAGCATCTCCGAAGAAAGGAGCCCCAAATTCATCGAGCCCATTCAAACTTGCTAATGGTCGTATTAATAGCTCTCAAATTCGACCAAAGGGTAGTTTTAGTGCTGCTTCTAGACTCCGCAACAGTAAATCCGGGTCGTTTAACCTTCGAATAGGGATACTTAGGTCTATTTAGATCCAGATTTTTAAATACTTCATTCAACTTCTCATCAATTTATGACTAACTTGCGTTCTCAGTTAAATGCGTCATTGTTTACGAAAACGTCTAAAATATCCTCCACCAAAACATTAACCCTTAATGATATCATATGAAACCAAGACCTCAAACAGAAATTATCAAAATGCCCTTCTGTTCCTTTGTAAAAACTTAAATTTCCCTTTTCAATTCCGAATTCTCAGTCTTTAACACTTTGCACCGGGAAGTATTCCGTTAGAAATATTTAACATTTTCTAACTAGACACAGACGATATTTTTTTAAATTAACTCAAAGAGAAATCGCAAGTAAATTGAGAAACAAAGATTGTTTATCCCAATATTGCATTATACACAGTTCAGTATTGAATATCAAATTTTATAGTTTTACTACATCAAATCTGAAAGTCACCTCTCAAGTGCAAAGGGTTAGGTAAACGTAGGCGCACAATACGAAGAGCAGGGATTCCTCTTCCATCTTCCGTAAATGACTAACAATGAAACAGTTCTAACGCGCAAAGTTGCGAAAGAAATCACAGGGTAAGGGGTTAAACTCAGCCTTGTCGATACACCTCCATAAATCCGGTTCAATCATGGGAAACTCTCCTACGGACACTTTCCGCGCTGTAAAAACCGGAAGGAGCACTTTTACACCTAGCTTCTTCTTCCAGCATGTAACCCCCGAGGTATTCCCAGCAGCGGCACGTTCGTGTTTCATTGTTCCACGGGAGATTCGAGGAAAGTTTTCGGCGGCCGGCATCGTCATCCCTGAGAAGACAGGCCAGTGCCGGAAAACGACTCGCATAAAAGAGACTTCCCGGTGAATTATACAGGCCGCATGAAAAATTCTCGCGATGAGCGGTGGTCCAACTTCAACGGGGTGAGGGGCGCATAAGGAGATTCGCATTATCCTGCATGTTGGATGAGGGGAAGCGAGGCAGGCCGACCGGCAGCCGACTAGAGGCTCGGCCGAGCGATATGAAATTTTGATCAGAGAAGTGTACAACCGGCACCCGGTGTATCTCCGGAATCGGAAGTTACTCGTCCCGCGGGGAGGACGCGAGCGAACAGCGCTGCCGAAAGGTCAGCGCTGCTTTTGATCAGGCTTCTGATTCAATCTTTCGTTTCTGCGCCCTCTGCCCACTCGCGTTGTCGGATTCTGGAATTTTTCAAACCTTGCGAGTGACAGAATATGAAATTGGAATATCTCGCGCCGACCCGATTGGTAATTAACCTCTGGAAGTCGGCGTTGAAATTTCAATGCAGTGGATATTTATTTTTATTTGTTCTTCGTTTGTGAGATAAAAAGTAAATCCAATGCAATTAAGTGTACCGTTATTGGTGAATGGTGTATGGAAATGAGAAAGTTACAAATAATGATTTCCCATGGTTATAAAATTACTGTAATTAGTGGAGATATTAAACACTGTATATTTGAGATTAAAACGATTTTTATTGTACATCATTTAAATAAACGGAGGTCTTCTAGATTCAGCTTTCTATTTTATACATATAGGAAAGTTGAATTTCGTCGACGCGGCGACACTGACCCCAAAGTTAGTTAAATTTTCACCGATCGGGTCGTAGACTCGTTACGATACGAAGCGGCCTGCTCCTTGTACTTGTAACAAAACCCACCACGCGTGTTCGAGCTAGCACGTTCGCATGTTGCTACGTAATCGGATTCTGATGACGGGTGAATTCACGGTGAATCGGTGTTGAGCGCACGGACAGTGTAGAAAATTATTGATGCACCGCCACGGTGAATCGTTAAGCATCGCTGTCGGTTTACCGGCGAGTCGAGCGGTGTCGGTTAAATTGTTTATCAAGCGCAAACTACGTTAAGGTTGTTCCGCCGGTCGAAACCGGTTTCATTGTGCTAACGGGCTGATTGTTATTGAGCTACAGGTCGGATAGTGGCAATGGGACCATTTGAAAAGTTCGATTAGCGCGCGGTTTATGAAACATTAGTATCGATCGGAATATATTGTGGAGATTAGAGCACGCCTCGATGCGTTTGTAGCATTTACGGCCCGCCTAAATAAACAATTCAGTTATAATTTCTGATAGCTTCGATTACATATTATAGTCGTGACGAATGAAGAACAATGAAAGGATAGAACTCCTATCGAATTCTAGGCTTCCATAATACATCGTATAACACATAATTAACAAGCGAATAATTTAACTTGAGTTTAATGAACGTTGACATTTTCAAACAAAAGGGATCCTATTTTCCACTTAGAAATATTAAATTTCTGCAACAGGCAACATTATTTTCGTTACGAAATAATTAACGAAGAAAACATTCTCTCTCAAAGCCATTCACGAGTTGAATTAAAAAACAGTTTGCCAATAAAAATAATCTCCCACTTACGTCCTTCATAACGGAATTACGCGGCATCGTGAAACACCCATGTGACCCTATATATCACGGCTACTAACACGAGTATCCTGTCCCTTTTCTGTTCCAGGCCGATGCTGAAGCAGATAAAGAACTCGGCGGAGTCGCATATTGTACTGGATTGCTCCACCGAGAGGATTTACGACGTGTTGAAACAGGCGCAGCAAATAGGGATGATGAGCGACTATCACAGTTACCTCATCACCTCTCTGGTGAGTCTTTTAATTAAATGGGAATGTAATTAACGGGGCCGAGGCTCGCGCGCCGGTCCCACGACGCTCTTTCCTCGTTCCGAGGGCGACGGGCCTCTCGACACGGCCGACCGAAATTAGAACTGTCCTGTCCGAGTGTGTAAGGGTTGCGTGTCGTGCGTTGATAGAAACTTGCCACCCTAATTCAATTGGTCGGGTTTCTCCCTTATGATACTGACTATGGATCGCCAATAGATTCTCATTCCACCTGGAGAATTTTTCAAGATTCTTTCCCATTAACTGAATCGTTATTCTTAATTAATGTCTCACTAACACAACTGCCACGAAAATTAGGTGCGCTTGGTTACAATATTAATTATTCTTTCATAACAACGACAAAGAACATTGGAATTAACGATTAACTCGTTAGCATAGTTCTTAAGTTACACTATCATTTAGTTACTCGCGTTCCTAAGTATTCTGATTTGATATCAGTTTCCTTTTTGCAATTGCTTTCAAGTAATTTGGTGGCTCTAGATCACCATGGCAGTCCTGTTAACTAGCTAATAATAGAAACAATGCTAAATGTCTATAACATTATATTTATAACAAATTAAAAAAAGCAAACGTTCCACATCAAGTCAAGTGGTATCTTAGAGTCACTCGAGTATAGAGATTTAACCAGGCGCGTCCCTTTGGAAGAGTAGTCTCCCTCGTCACCCCCGAGAGTAAGTATAAAAAGTACACCTCCCGCGATTGTAACCAATTACTCTCTCAATCTAGCTACCACTTACGTACACCTCCCTTCCATCAACGCTTACGTAAACTAATTCTTGCGGAATAGGTGGCCGACTCGTTTATCACTCAACGATCTTCCTTCGGAACGTTCTCCCAGCTCGATAGGGGATGAACGAGGAGTTCGGGGTGGCGTTCGTGATCGGAATCGATGAGACCCGGGCCAGGGGAGTCACGGTAAATTATCGATAAGAACGCGAGAAGGAATCGATAACTGCGGACAGAGCCGGGCTGTCGGTTAGATTGGCTTCCGCTGTCGTTTGTCCGTGGCCTCCGTCCCTCGAATCAACGTTAACGGGACGAACGTGAGGCTCCGCGGGCTGACTGGCTCGCCTGGCCGGGACTTTAATGGAACTTTCAGGCGAGAACGACGCGACGCGTTGGCGGAGGTGCCCACCTACTACTCGTGTAACGCGCCGCGTTTTATTAGACTTAAATTACGCGGGCTTGTTCCTCCACGGTTGCTCGGGGAAAGAATACGGCACGCCGAGGGGGAATATTGTACGGTCTTATTGACTACGTTCTTTCGGCCAGATATTATTTTTCCGCTCCGGTACGATCTTTGTGTGCCCGGAGATCTACAGAGTGCGCTGCTTTTAAATTGCTCACGGTGAATTAAGGGCTATTTGCGCTGATTAATTTGCCTGATAAGGGTAAGAGTATGTTTATTGCGCGATACCGCGCGTTATGGGCGTTGTAAAAGGGAGGATGCTGTCGTAATGAGAATAAGTAGACCGGAGATGGTTCTGTTGATTTCTCTTTTGATTAAATTCCTTGGCGTTTCGTAGTATATTCTGCGCAGTGATTTGTTCTATAGCGAAGTGCATTCAAGCTGGACGAACCGTGTATTTCAATGCTTCTGAAAGCTTTTATTTGTTTTGCGTGTTATGCAATATTTGCGATTGTTTTCAGTAGTATAAAAGATTTTCAGTTAATTGTAAGAAATTCTCCATCTATTTCAATTGAGTCTTTACTTTGTTTAACATTTTGTTCCTGAATGGTACATATAGGTACCGCGAACATTTTATATTACGCGTAAAGGAAGATTGTACCGCACGGAGATCTTTGCTTATGACTGACAGCTCAAGTACATGTATTTTAGTTCATTAGAGCGCACTCGTAAGTTCCTTTCACAAAATTCATATTGAAAAATATACATATTCAGGGACGAACGGGTTGAAAGTAACATGTAAGAATGCTACAAGAGAAACAAAGAAATTCGTATCGCCCAAAATTATATTTTCTTCGAAGTTCAACGAACTGAATCGAAAATCCGTTCTTAAAACCCACGAGGATAAACTTTTTGTTCGCCTCCTACGAATTCCTTCCGAATACGGGGTCCCTTTATCTCTCCACTCTGCCTTAATTCTACATGAAATCGATCGTCGGCTTGAGGTGATCCATTAAGGTAGAAGTCCTTGTAACATTAAACCCGTTTCTGCAACCATGCAAATTCAGGACGACCTTGTCTGCATACACCTGTATGAGTGTGTATTTATCCGCAACAGAGTTTCTCGTTCTCCGATCGGTTCCTTGATCACGTTCATGCATTAATGCACGTAAAAGTCCGACCCCCTTTGTCGTTGTTCAACGCAAAGGGACTATTCCCAAGGTTCGAGCAGCGTGCACGGGTTTCTGCGACTTCGTTTCACGGAGGGAAGGAGGCGAACGAGATCGTGGTACGTGTTGTCGCAGAATGGCTTGGGGGCGCGATCGTTGCAATATCGCCGATCATATCCTTTCTTTTTCAACATTCTTCCTGGCGGCGTGAAACAGCGTCGGGGACACGAGAATAAAGTTCTCGAAAGACGGATGCACCGGATAGAAGTATCGTGTAACCCGACAACGGAGCACTACACGTACATCTCTGTATAAAATAGTTTCGATCTCTCTTCTCAGCTTCTTTAAAATCTCCATTTCAATCAATTTCCTCGGCGCATTAAGTTTTTGTCTCGAGATACGTTAATGGCAACTAGATATATTCTGTTTTATAGCACCGAAGAAAGATAATAACGCGAGGTTAAGGCGTAAGTTAATAAACCACCGTCTACCGAATCTATAAAATTCTTTTTACCTTTGTCTACCGTGCCTTATTATGCACGAATGGTAAGGTTTATTGATGTAATATTTCGTGTAAGCCTGAATATGTTCGGCTTAAGTTTCATATATAAAAACATCCGTAAAAGCAGAGGATAATTAGGCGTTGGGACACGTTAATACCGCGGTTTGAATAAATACTTGAAAGATTAGTGTCACCGGTCGTTACGTTTTTGCCATTATTAAACCTATTTTCGCATGAGATGAAAGTTTAATCATGATAGCCTTGAGGAGTTAATGTTCGACAAACTGCGCCCTCCTTTTTGTTCGTTAATGAGAGATGTATAATGCTGATACATCGAAACGATTTATAGTTAACGTGCAGGGGGAAAAAGATAATATAAGGGGCATAAGATTTTTTTTGTATCGAAGCTAACGATAAAATAAAATAATTCAGCTCGGTATTACCATAGCTAAACGTGCGACGATTATCGCTTGTTAATCCTGTTTATCTAATTATCTCTCACCTCTACTTAATTATGCAATCCATGACCGACATTAAACGCAATTGAACCAAACAGAGACCCCATTAAATACGCAATGATCGATTCTTCGGGTTAATTTTCTTATTAAAATTATTTCCCGGGAGTTGAACACGGGAACAAGACGAAGCTGGAGCTGGTGGCCCCGACGGCCATTTCCTCTCGCGCGGTTTCATAGGGGACTTCGCTCTCCACCGCGGAACAGGTTGCCAGAACGAAAAAGCACCGACGTGCATCGTTTCCAGGCTTATAATTATAAATTACTCGTAATACAGGGGCAATTTGTAGGTACCTCCGTCTACCGAGCGCACCGCAATTATTCGGTGGATACAGCTAGAAAATGATTCACGACGCGATCAGAAATGAGGGATAAAAGGAGACCCGGCGAACCCGTGAGCCGGGAATCGTTTCAGACTGAATCTTCCCGCGAGCCCCCGGCAATCGGTTTTACCCTTGAATCGCTCGGTGTAATTGGAAAATTCGTTTGCCTCCGGACGTATTCTTTCGCGCGTTTATCAACCCGGTTCTGATAAATAATGTATGTACGTGGCGAGAGAATGTTCCGTGCACGGTGATATTTTGTTCGTGGGACACTTGCGAGAAATATTGCAAGTTTGTTCGTTGGTTTGTTCTACGAGGAAACATGGGATGGAAGTGTGGAGTTCAAAATTTGAATGATTGAACATTAAAAATCTAGAAGCTTGAAAATTTGAAAGTTTCAAGGTTTAAATATTTGAAAATTTAAAGATTGGATAATTTGAAAATTTGAAAATTTAGAAATTCAAATCTAATTTATCTGAAGATAAAACAGGTATCGAGTATATATTTTATTTGGCAATCAAAATAATAAAATAAAAATAATTTCCTGGAGTTTCTTTTCACGCGTTCATCTTTCTTTTATCTCCATAGAAAACGGGTAATTTTCTATACTTTCTGTCGAGTTCAGAGCGAAAGTTGCCCGAGGGTAATTAACAATTTATCGTTATTCACGGTTTACCGGTTTCCTCGAAACGTCGCTATGTCGACAGGATAATCGTGATGTAAGTCAAGATGCCCGCAGGGGCAGAAGGATAATAATTGGAAGGTTATGTTTACCGAGGACCGTCGCCGGTTTTACGGATTTAATTGCAATTAACGCGATGTTAATATCTTGGCCATTTAATGCCTGTCGGCGCCGACAATTTGAAGAAGCATCAAACTCTCGAGATTTCGATTTTACGGAGAAACAGATTCGCCGACATCAAAGACTCAGCACTTCAACACATAATACTGCAATTTTAGAATCTATTTAAAAGTGTCTTTGATTCGCTGAAATAAAACGCAGATTTAACAGAATTTAAATTCCTCGTTCAGCAAAGAGACGAATAAAATGTTTAAAGCAAGTTTTATAATGAAATAAAAAGAAAAGAAGCATCCGAATTTAGGGGCACGCCAATAAAATAGACTTTATAGCGTTATGTTCTCTTTTTGCTGTGAATTTTTCCACCTCTAACAAGTTAAAATCTCAAATACACATTCGCGAACTATCGAAAGTAAATGCAACAAGTACTTAGCGTTAGATTGTTGTAGAAACAAAGTAATTAGCAATTTTGGTGAACTCACGTGTACCGAGTGTGCAGTGTATCGAACGTATGTAAACGCGGCTGT